TTAGGTTGCGTTTCTAAGCGACGCGCTGCAGTATGAAGGCCTAGATGCTTCGCGAACGTTAAATCTATGGCGCTATTACGTCATAACCAAATTTTTCTTTCAAAGACACATAAAGAATGAAGGTTAGCGCAAACAAAGACCTGCAATATTCAGTGTCTTAGACTACGGGAGAGGAAATTCTCCAAGGCCACTCAGCACGTGCTCAGACCTTTAACGTGGGCGTAGGACAAAGGACATAGACAATATCCGTCGCTAAGTGATGCAGATCAAAGGCCGACTCGCGCCGGCATACATATCAGACATTTACACGGCATCAAGTGCCTGGACTGCTGGACCAATGACTGCGGCATGAGCGATAAAAAAACCTGAGAGCTCTCGTGCATGTACATAATTTACCCGTAAAGCGAAAGGGTTTGCAATCGCACATCGCTATGCACAGTCTAGAAAATGTCCATTCGCTCAAGGCAGACGGTGTCCAAATAATCGGCCTAGCCGACAATAGACAGGCAAGAGAAGTAATCAAAGCCCATAAATCAACCTTCCCGTGCCATGCGCATGCGTACGTCTGTGCTTACACATAAGAAGGGGTCTAATGAGACAAGACAGTGATATATCAACTAGGAGTGAGCAGGAAGTTCCTATGTTAACCTTGATCCTGACGCAGTTTTTGTATCTTCGATGATGCGCTTTAGGATAAGTGTTATACGTCAGATGAACAACTATTCTTCCCCGGAGAGGGCCATAGATTTTCCTTCCATTCAAGTACCTGGAATCGGCATATTTGCGTATATAGGTGGGTGATTGGATTGCAGTGTATGTGACCAGTTGCATAATTTTCCGACATTTCGAACTAGCATGCGAACTCATCGCCAAGGAAGGACATATTTTTTCAGCTCACTGTCCGCTAAGGAGATCTCTGCCGAAAGATCTTTCAGGCATTTCATTTTTATGTTCGCGCAAAGTCTGATAAACAGCTAATAGATCGATAGGTATATTAACGATGCCCACAGTCGTGTCATGCTCGCCTGACTAACTCACCGTTCTTACGTTTTCCGTGCAGATGCGCGGGGCAGCCAGCACGAAAAACTTATACTTCCGTCTTACGGGGATCTCTTGCGCGTGTTGTCTCAGGGAAACACGTTTGCATAATTTTTCAACAAAATT